TTCTCGAGAGAAAACGAAATTATTGGTATAGATGGCGCTGTGTGTATTGATATATATCACATAGGGTACTTTTTATCCTTTTGTGACGCGAGCGAAGCCGCGGGTAAAAGCTAGTACAAAATAAATAATAGTTTGTCATTATGTCCGTCAGTGAAGCTAGGGGTTCGTTCAATGTAGAAGAACGAGCAAGAAACTCCATTCGCTACTCTTTTGAGAAAATTAAATAGGAAAGCATACAATTTGAGTGAGAGAAAAAAACTGTCACAAATCGTGAAGCCGGGTTATAGGTAGTATTTTTTTTTAAGGGGGGAACATCATCGAATGACTGCTCTCGCCTGGGTGAGACAGGAGGGAGTGTCAGACTCTTACTGACTAAAAACCACCCCGTTCCTTCTCCTGCACGTCGAGCCGGAGCCCCGGTAACCCGTTAGGCTCTCCTAGCTGAAAACACCAACCTACATATATTATTTTGTCATTAACTAAGACATCAAACACACAATGTCTGTTAATAATTCTTTTTTCAACTACGTTTATAAAAACCGTCTTCAATCCCCTCTTATTTAAAGTAAATTAATAGACTAAAACTTCCTCCTAAGTGTAACAAACACTTTTCTGAAAACCGCATCAAAATCTGTTCAGCCAATCACGAGATAATCGCGCACAAACATACATACATACATACAGGTAAAACTGAGAACCTCCGTCTTTTTTGAAGTCGGAGTTTAAACATCTACTCATTTTATGAAATATATTAATTAACTAATATTATAAATCGGAAAGTGAGTTTGTTTGTTTGTTTGTTTGTTCCGCTTTCACGCCGTAACTACTAAACCGATTGCTTTGAATTTTTCCGGACGTAAAGTTAGAAGTCTAGATTAAATAATAGGGTACTTTTTATTCCGGAAAAATGTGATATTCTCGAGGAAAAACGAAATTATTGGTATAGATGGCGCTGTGTGTATTGGTATATGTCACATAGGCTACTTTTTATCCTTTTGTGACGCGAGCGAAGCCGCGGGTAAAAGCTAGTAGATAAAATAAAATTCGGCATCGTAGCTTTTACTCCTTACCGAAACTCCTGCATTTCTCTCTGCTCCTCAATAGAGATCTGTTGGGCTGCCTTAGCCTTTGAGCGTTCCACTAGGTCCAGGAATCCGACCTCATCATCATCCAAACCACGGATCATGTTTTCTGCAAAGATACATTTTCTAATTAAAGAAATAGGAAATACAATATGTTTTATTAGTGAATAACGGTAAAAGGACATATAATCTAGATGAAATACACACCAGGATTATCTCCTGTATCGTGGGTGCGTTTACAAACATACAAGTTCACATACACATGACATCCAGACCCATAGATTGTTCGATTGCCGTGCAGTAATCGAACTCGCTACACGCTGTGCGGCAGCCGGTTGCTCAGCCACCACATCAACCGTGTAGTCGAAATTCGGCACAAGATACATGAGGGTCCATATCTTTAACTATTATTTTTAAAATAAATCATCTGAAAGATTATGAGAGAATCACTGAGAGAGAAAGCAATATGGCATTTCCGCCATGTATCATTACTTGTTTTGTCAACTGCTCGAGAAGCTGCTTCGATTACTTTCGAGCTACTTCGGGAGCCCATAACGAGCAACCAACACAACCGACGTGATAAGCGTTACACAGCCAAGAACAGTTAAGTGGGTAAGCCATCCACGTAAATTAAAATAAAACTATTGTATACTGATCATGGACTCTGTAAAAGAACTACTTACTAAGCTTATGTGCCTCTTCGTATTCAGCCTCCTTCTTCAGCCGCTGCTCTTCCAAGCGCTGATACAGCGGCCGCGTATCATAAGGTTCCTCTGGTGCCTCTGTAGAACAAAATAGCACCATCAGTCATACAGGAATTACTGAACAAAAGATTTCTCAAGTTCGACACGTCGCATTGAAGCTGGTTTCACAGGTTGCTCGTTCCCATTAGCTTTAGGACAGCTGTGTCCAAGGGGGTGAAGACCCCAGAGATGTGGTCACACTGCTAACCTTATGAAAACTTTTTATAAGTCTATATAGTATCGTCGTAGTCATATAGTATGCATTTGATCGTTTTGTCCTTCAAAATAATCAATAATTCAATATTCAGTACTTGGTATGTTAGATTGAGGCCTTGAATTATTATAATGGAAGATTTAAGTTGACAAATAGAAATAATACTTAAATGAGTGACAATAAAGGTGAAATTCGAATGATGAGTAATGAGTATGCTGCATAACAATAGAAATTCTAATGGAATTGAATATAAACAAATGGTACATCATCATTAGTTACTCATTTATGACAAGCATGAAGGGAAGGCTTCTATAAACTATAATACAACTCATATACATAATAATATAAAAATTTTGTCTCTACCCCTTTCCATGTAAAAATATTTTTTTAATTTTTTTATGCGACTACCAGTACTTTTTAATATTATATATTTATTTTTAATGCGATAAGCCTCATGTTAAGCAATCGGCGTCGCCCATGGACACCCGAACACCAAACACGTTACAAGTGCATTACCGGCCTTTTGGGGATTAGAAATTCTAGGACCAACTTAAAGGATTCATGGTTTGTGGAGATGGGTAAATTCGGCTTCCGATAACCTCAATCTCACGATGAAATACAACGCTTGCATTGTTTTACGTCGGTTTTCTGTAAAGTTGTGGAATCAGTCCGGTCGAGACGGCCCATTTGTGCTCAAGCATAGCTCTCCAACACATAAGAGCTTACTAGATTTTTGTTTTGTTCACGGTATCCCAACAAATGCTATTACAACTTGTTTCTTCAGTTTAAACAATACCCAGATAAAACTATCAAATAAATTATTCAATAGACTACTTACCCCTCAGTCTCACAATCAGTTCTGAACCTTTCCCAATTTGAAATCAAAACATACTTTACTAAACTCGAAAATGTTTTGAGAAATTCACTCAATTTCACAATTTTGTTTTGGTTCTCATGGGAACAGGTAGGCGATTCTGTTACTTTCAATTGCAAAGATCGAAGTGAGTTCGTTTAAAGTTTAAATTGACAATTGGAGAATTGTCTAGTTAATAAGAGAAAGCTCTCAAAGGTATTCTTTTATATTTTTTGGGCCGACATTTGACCACTATTACACATTATACTAAAATTGTATATGGCTTAACAGTTCTTTCTAATCTTGAGGAATCAGAGACTTTGGAGAGGTAAGTGTTTAACTTCAGGTTTGGTTCAGTAAATATTTTTTGCTTAAACTGTCAAACACCAAGCGGTCACCGGTGACCGCAACCTATTGTTCTTTAATTGTGTCTATAATGACGGTACTCAACGAGTTAACTTTGTTTCAGTATTTTATATTTTTAGCCTCAGTACCACAGGATTTCTATTAGTTTTTCGTAAGAATGGAAAATGATCAAATTACTCTTTCCAGGTGGTTGAGACAAGATGAAGTAGTCAAACTCTTAACAGTAGAGTGCACCTTTTTGCAAAACTTTAGTGGCTGTGGTGAGCATTTTGCCGCCAGTTGAAAAAGTGGTAAAATAACAAACATCGTCTCAACCGCTCCCTAGGGAACTCACAGCATCAAATCCTTTGGCACACATTCCTAACAAGACTAGAGGCAGCTATTAAAAAGTGCAAGACTATGAGGAAATTGTTTAAAAAGTTGTCAACTTTTTTTAGTCTGTACAAAATGCCAATAGCTCTCCCACTCAAGGTTTAATGACTAAATTTCTACAACTGTTTTACATTCTATCACATTTACCAACTCAATTTAGAAATAAAAAAAAACAAAACAAACAAAAAAAAAAAATATAGTCTATTTTCTTAAACAATTTAACATAGGTAGTAGGCACTTTGCAATAAGGTAAACAATAATATGTTGATTTATAGAGACCAAACTAAAGATCATATTGCTTTGTATTTACTAAATAACTAGTGCGCCACATAATACTCATAATATTTATTATGTCGATCGTAAAATTTGATTTACAAAAACCGACCTTATTGTAACCCAAGGATTTTACTTCATTCAAGGCATGATAAGAGGCATATTTTTGAATATATGAAAATTATTTTCTTTTGTAATACATAGCAAACTAAATGATATTTATAAATAAATGTTATTTTAACAATAAAGGCTACGTAATACGCCTTTTTTCATGCATTATTGGACTTGCCGTTTGTCATGCTATTATCACGAAACGAAAGAACCATTTCGAAGTTAATTAGCAATTAAAAAATAGTATTTATCATTATAATTAAAAATATACAGAAGGCAATCCAAAGAGGCAAAGATATGAACAGTTTAGAGCATTCGTTTTTTTATCAATGCCAAACGTAACAATGATGATTGAGCTTATGGCGATCAAAACAAATTCTGGTATTTTACCTTCCGGCTGGTCTGCTGTACGTACTTTTTCCCATTCCTCTTGCCTTCGCCTCCTCGCTTCCAATATTTCAGTTTCGGATATAAATCCAGAACTCATTTTTAATTAAAATAATATTTTCTCGATAAAAACACTGCACTTCACACACTTTTTTCTAAATAACCTAACTTTTTTCAGTCAATTTGATCTTGATTGGTAGCTGTCAAGCAAAGGAAACCTTATTGCTATGCCACAGACGTCAACATGTTTCTTATTTTAATATTTTGAATGAAATAAGTAGGTAATTTTGTTTTGTTTGATAAAGCTAATAATATTTCAACGAATATTTTCACTTAGCTAAAAGTAATTAAATAATAAGTAATTAATTTAATAAGTAATTAATTTAAAAAAATACCTCTAAAACTGACTATAAACTTGACCAAAATCAAACCACAACAGTGATATTCTGTGCAATTTTGACATTGACAGGTTCGAAAATGTCTAATTGGAATTGGAAATTCAGCAAGGAAAGCCGGTTAGTTTTCGCATGAAATTGTAATTTCAAATGAACTTTCTTTACAACTACTAGCTGAAATACTAAGTATAATACCGGTACAATATGTCTGAGGTCGAAAATAAAGTCGTACCAGTGGAAAGTGAACAGAAAGACTATGTCGAAGATGGAAAAAACAAGTTGATTGTTAAATGTAAATTCTGTGGATCTAAGATATTAGAGAAGAAATCAGCGAAGTATATCACATTAGAGGTAATATTTCAAACAATATACTTTCATTTTGGCGCTTTCTTCTATCTGTGGCTTGTAATAGGCTAATGAGTTAATAACATCATTTTTGCGTGCTTCAATATGTACCGATGGTTAAATATTTAATAAAACACGTCCCGTTATCATATTTCTAAATTTAGAACCACTCAAGTTATTCACTGAAGATACCAACAAAAATAAGTTCATAATTATTTTTATTCCGCTATAAGAATACCCACCAAACTAGATTAAAAAATTTTAATACTTTACTTTTTATTTACAGAAAGAACTACCACTAATGCAACAAGACAACAACAGAAAGGAGGGTGAAATACAAAATGAGTCTGTAAATGAATTCTACCATGTCGAAAACATGTATACATTTGAAAATATTGGTTTTACGCACACTGTAGCTAATTGCAAGTACTTAAGTTGTGCGGACTGTGACGCAGGGCCCGTTGGATACTACGATATGGATACGAAACACAGTTATGTGGCCATATCTAGGATTGTACATGCTTAAACGGATAGGTAGGGTGAATTGGAATCAATGACGGTAGCGTAGTTGATAATTTTTGTTTACTGCTGCCATAAGCCATGTTTCATTACTCATGATTGAGTTTCTATTAGTGTAATTGGCATCATTGCTTACCACTAGGCAAGATGGCCAAATGTCAATCTATCAAGTATAAAAAAAATGGCTGGTAATTTGATACTATCTTCCAAAATTACAAGCTTCTAAAATTAAATAATAAAATAATGTATATGTTATTATAGCAGATAGTATATGTTATAGTTATATATGGAGGATCTCGGTTGGTAGTGATGAAACAGACCCTTAGTCAAGTTTATTATCTATAGAAAAACAAATGAATGTGATTTTCCAATAAGACACAGGTGTCCCTATAGTCTACTCCATTAATAGACCCTATGTCTGATGCTTATAGACTACTTTTGTGTAAACAAGTTTGGTAGTTTTAAATAAACCAACTGATACAAACCATACATTTGTTTTTCATCTTGACTACGGTTGGAAATATTGAAAAGTTAAACAACTATAATATATGGCAGTAAGAACAGTACTAAAATATCAACCACGGATTACCGTTAAGATTAGGTCATTATCGATTGTCCAATTCTATTAATATTGACACTTTTTATTTATAAGTGTAATCAAATCTGACCTTTTTAAAAAGGATATCTATAAAGTCAATGCATATTTAATATTGTATTATTATGTACTAGCTGTTCTCTGCGGCTTTGTCCGCATGGTCAAAGGAAAAAGTAGTCTATACAGCGTGTTATAGGGTACTTTTTTTATAAATAAATCATACTGTAAAATCGCAATTGTCTCTCAGAAGTACATATACCAATATTCTATTTAGGTGCTTATAAAATAAAGTCAAAGTTAAAATCATTTATTTCAATTAGACCAGAAAGGCATTTTTCAATGTCAATTATAATCATAATGTGACCACTGTATACCTTGTTCGGGCAAATAAATGATTTTGATTTGATTTGATTTGATTTAAAAATTTAAAGTGCAACTATTTGCTCCATAGTTTCTCCATACGAATCTACAGATTCGTATGAGAAGAACGAGCAAGAAACTCCATAGGTTACTGTATTTCAATCAGGCTTACAATACAATTCTCTAAATTCATAGTTTTGTACAAGTTCAATGCTACACCAAAATTATAGGTAAATTAAAAACATATAATACCTAGATAGATAAAATGTGTAGTTTAGAAAAAATAAATAAAAACTAAAATGTTATTCGAATACATAACATTTAATTCTTTACTTATAAAAATTGATAAAAAAAGTATCAATCAATCTGTAATAAATGGCTAAATTCTAAGATAAAGTAAAGACCTTTTCTCATATGAAAAAGGAATAAGTTGGGAGTATAGACCATACTTATATTATTGGAGAATTAGTAATTTTTTGGACTTGATTCACTCATTTGACTTGACTCGGTTAACCATCATTTAAAAAAATAATGTTACTCTTTAGTGGCTTTTAACAGACCTCTGTTAAATAAATAATGACATTTTATGATTTTAACCAAATCTGGTTAATACAACTCCAAAAATTATTTATTGAAGCCCAAACTACACAATAATTTACTTTATTGTATAGAGATATAAATAAAAAAATATATATATTTACGTATAGAATTTAAAAACTAAGTTCTAAATTTTTGTCATATCAATTTGCTCATTACAAAAATCATTCCTTGCTTCGTTTTAAAAAAAGTTTTTTATTTTTTAATATTACTGTATAAAATGCTATAGAAATAGAACTTAATGAGAGCTTAACTATGAAATGTGTTATGTATAATATATCTATGTATAGTGTCTATGTATTTATATTTTGTATTTTTTTTACTGTAATAAAATGCTTTGTTTTGAATGTATTTTTGTGTCTTTTAGTGAAGTAAAGGTACTTAGTTATCTTTATTTGTACCAACAAACTGTGGCATAACTACAGGGTGGCAAGTCAGCAAAGTGCCACGCGCCCCGAACCGGGACCAGTTCGGACTGAGGAGATTCTCGTTTTTTTTATGCCATAAACCGGTGAACGAGCAGACTGATCACCTGATAGTAAGCAATCGACGTCGCCCATGGACACCTGGAACACCAGAGGCGTTACTACTGCTTTACCGGCCTTTTGGGGATTAGAAGTTTGAGGATCGTTGGGGATTCAGGAATTGGGGAGATTGGGGAAAGGGAGGGTAATTGGGCCTCCGGTAACCTCACTCACACGACGAAACACAACGCAAGCTGGTTTCACGTCGGTTTTCTGTGAGGCCGTGGTATCACTCCGGTCGAGCCGCCCCATTCGTGCCGAAGCATGGCTCTCCCACACTTAAAATCACTAATCTGAACTACTCTTTGTGGGGCTCATCCAACGAATTTGCCGCGGGCCCCAAACGGTATAGTTACTACGGTACAATTAAAACATACATAGTGTTTCGTTACTATGTATATAATATTTTCAGGGCCTATTTTTCAATCGTCAGTTAATTCTTAACTGAAGAATAAAGTTTTCATTTGACAGTTTTTAGTTTAGGACAAGTATGAGCGTTTAATTGTTTAATTGTTGGTTGAGCGTTTAATTGTTTAATTGTTGGTTGAGCGTTTAATTGTTGGCTACTATAATTAGTTACCGTAAAATGGGGTGAATAGGGATCGAGAGGTGAATAGGCACAGAAGAGGGGTGAATTGGTACCTACTATGAAGAATTTCCTTATATCTTTTCACCCCTCTTCTGTCCCTTTTCGCCGCTTAAACCCTATTCACCCCATTTTACCGCTATAAGATTTGTTGTAACTACTAACAAAATTGCCGTGCCTATGGACTCTGTGGTCTGAAATAAATGATTTTTATTTATTAGCACTGTCAAAGTTATTCTGCAGTTAAAATTTATCGACCCTGGACCGATTTTCCCAACGCCAGATGTATTTTAAAGGTTACGAATTAACTGATTGAAAAATCGGCCCTTAGGCTCGTAGTATGTATGTATGATTTAATACTATGTGCACATCTACTATCTATAATATGAGTGCAAGTTGGTTTGTTGGTGTTCAGTGTTTTATGGGAAAATGATAAAAATGTCGTAAATAATCTTTAAGGGCTCGTACACAAAGCTGATGCGATGCGAATTGCTGCGATGCGATTTCGTGCGACAAGGCGTTTCCCAGGGGGACCATTTAAGTATTACGTAAGCACCATGGGGGTGTGGGGGATATCTGTTTTGCTTATTTTGAATAATAAGTATGGAGGGTAGGGGAGTCTAGATGATGATTACGTCATCCGTAGTTATTTACTTTTTTACACGAATGGCAACCTTCATATTGAAATTATAAATTACAAGCAACGACCGACAAAGAACTAGACATTATGGTATCTAAGAGAATATTAAAATTACAATATAAAAAGATATAATTTAGAATGTTTACGTAAGCAAAGGGGAGGGGGTAAGATCTTGGCTTACTTTTGCTGACAAGGGGGATGGGGGGTAAATAATTGTAAAAAATCTGCTTACGTAATATTTGCACGGCCCCAGGGTGACCATTCCTTCGACGACCGTCAACCGTACTAAACGTATTTAAAATTGAAAACTAGGTCGTGACATGGATAGTAAAAAGAAGTGTGCACTTCTGTTATTGCTTAGGAGATACAGGAAAAAGAAACAATGAAGATTTTGGGAAGATAAGATTTTGATGCGGGATGCGTAGAGGGAGCTCACACATTTTTACGACGCGACGTCGCATCGCAGTTTTGTGTACGAGCCCTATTACTATTTTAAAACAAAATTGTAATGTCATGCAGTTATCATAATCAGAATACTAATATCATATTGGGGTCATGGTACTGTTATGTACGGATCTATAATTTCAGCATAGTTTGCATGAGTTTCCGTGGTGTAGCGGTTATCACATCTGCCTAACACGCAGAAGGTCCCCGGTTCGATCCCGGGCGGAAACATAGTTTTGCCATTTATTTTCTTAATTTTATTTTTTAATAATAATGTTATAATACTTTCTGTAATTATTATTACTTTTATATTTTATAATGGCATGATGCAGTAATGTTACTTACAATACGTTATTATAACTCCTGATACATTTTTTATACAAACGTTCGTATCAGGCGCGAGTCGCCAGTGCTAAGAGAGTTTTGTCAGGCGCTTTAAATCAAGTTTTCGAATTTAATCTTTAACCTTTTGAACGCCAGAGCAAAAACGCATGAACTTGCCCTCAACGCCAGGCCACAAATTCACCGCAAATACCTACGAAAAAAATAGGGATTCCAAAACTTCATCGATAATCAATTTTATTTTCATTTTCGTCTTTAATTTCGAAATATAATGTCCTTATAACATTGAAATTTAATTCAACATTACATTTCTTCCTATTAAAGTAATAGTTATACACTATTTACAGACTTGTATAATACCGTAATAACAGATATGAGACTACAATATATTTAAATATAATAACTGTAGGTACAACACTATTCTTGATCTGCTGTCTTCATATTGTGACCATGGCGTGGACGGCCCGCCATTTTAATAACTACTTCGCTTCCGAAATAAGGATGTGGCAGCGTAATATCTCGTTTATCGATGTTCTAGTACAATATTATTTTATAATAAATGAAACATGTTTTTTAAATCAGATTTATAATTCCGAATGTAACAGGTACTTAAAAATATATGATTGAAATAGGTTAAGAAGGTAAATAAAAACACAGTATGTACAGTATATGTTATACAGTATGTACTATGTATACATGTTTTTAAATATTAAGTTCTATAAACCTGGCATAAAAAGTAACAAATTAAAACAATTAACAAAAAGACGAATTAAAATGTGAAGTTTCACATTTACCTAATGTGGGTTTCGAAGAAGAGCCAAAGGACCCACGCAATAAGGCATTCGCAAGATTGGTCGCACATGAATTAGATAGTGTACCAGCGGAGAAGCGTTCGGTAACTTACACCAATATAATTAAT